AGACGATACGCATTGACGACCACGGAATTCAAATTCCTCGAAATCGGCATCAGAGTGGATCCGCCGAGTTACGTGGAGATCGCCATAGGAGATCATCGGGGAAAACAGCTATTACTATCTCTCGAAACGTGGAAAGGACTCTACGAGCAACGCCACGCTATTCACAATTACCTGAACAATGACTCTCTCAACAACGATGTGTATAATTGTATAAGTGTCGGGCCGCTAACAGTGCGATTTCACAAGATAAACGGCACCAAGCTCATAAGTCTCGAATCAGCGGACGTGCGCATGATGATGGTCGAATCGACGTTACATCGTATGTTCGAGCTCGATTCATGTATCGAAATAATGTACGATCGATTGACGAGGCTCATCGCAACGGTCGATATCAAACATACGCAATTCTCCAATATTGCATCCACTGTAACGAATGCGAGAGAATTGCCGAATGCGATACGCGCTAGCAACGCCTTCGACATGCACCAACTTGTCGATTGCGAGCTGGTGGCTTTAGTTTTTAATATGTAATAAAACTTTATATATAATTATGTATTAAATATAAGACGAATAAATACTTATATGTATATCATGGTGTACTTTATTTGCGCGCCACCCGTTACATACTTTGCGAGAGAGCAATCACTAGAAAAGAAAGAGACAGCGCGCGAGAGAGAGATCGGATGTGGCGGCGAGAGAGAGAGATTCGACGGCTCGCGGCGAGAGAGATTCGGCTCGGGCCTGTGGCGAGAGAGAGACGGCGAATTAAGACGCGAGAGAGAAAGAAGACGGGCTGCAGCGAGAGACGTACGCGAGAGAGAGAAAAAGAGAGAGCTTTTAAAATAATTTTTAATAATTTCTTTATATTTTCCTAATATTTAAAAGGGAACAAGAGGTAAGGACATTTTAATCTAAAATAAATACACTCATTTGATAATAATATTTTTTTTAATCTATAAAATATGTGTAAATTTACATTTGTGTGTGTGTGTGTGTGTGTGTGTGTGTGTACTTGTGCATGTGTTACAGAAGAGATAAGGACCCCACGGTTCGTCACTTCCGCGGTATTTATTGACTCCAAACCCTCTCTACTGTGTGTGTGTAAATATAAAAATAAAAAATAATATATGTAAAATACAAAATTAAAAAATATAAAAATATAAAAATAAGGATATAAATGAAAAATAAAAAATAAAATAATTTACATTATGGACGATTGGGGTGACGACGGTGATTGCGACGGTGATTGCGACGGTGATTGCGGCGGTGACGGCGGCGGTGACGGCGGCGGTGACGGCGGCGGTGACGGCGGTGTAGGCTGAGGCCTAACATCGTACAGGTCTGGTAGAGTGAAAAGCTGCACCAGACCCCAATCGAGCAGGTCGGCCTCGTCGTCGCCTCTTAAAAATGCGTCCCAATCGAACATCTCTGGAACCATTATTGGAACGTATGGTTCATCTGTAAACATAACAATTATTAATTTAAAAATATAACAATTATTAATTTAAATATATAATACAATATTATAAATCACACTTTTTCACACTTTTAACCTCAGCCTATTTTCGCTGACATTCGCTGCAATCCCTGATCATCGGTGCTGGACCGTCAATATGCGTTCGCATCCACGGCCGATTGTAATGTTCGAGGCAGCGACGATATGTCTGAACCTCCGGATCCGTCTTGATATGCTCCGGAAGCTTGTCCCACAAATGCTCTACGAAATATCCGCACTTTTGCAGTAAAACAATCTTCGGAATATATTGTAACTGTTCGGCACTTAAACTGAGAATGTCGGAAGCACTTGATAGTATTACAAACATCTTGAATGAAGAGAGCGTGCGCTCGCCAGTGGTACTATGGCCCGGCAGCGGCATCGGTCCTCATTATATATCCCCGATCAACCCTTTGTTCGTCAACGTACGAACGAGAAAAATTTAGATGACGTAAATTTTCGGCGCTTGTTTTGTTTATAAATTCCTGCAGCCGCTGGTTATCGGCGCTGGTATTTCTTCCTAAGATAAACAATAAAGAACCGCCGCTTATTGGGGAGGTACCGCGAGGGTGATATACAATCCCATGCAAAAACATGTCGCAGGCCGCAAGCGATGAGGTTGCAGGCAGCAACTTGTTCGCCCTGAAACTTTACCCGCTGATATTTCTTAGAAATATACGTATAGATCATGTATCAACCCCCTTGATTGTCGGCGTATGCCAAGCGGTGACCCTTCTTAAAATTTGATTATCTTAGATTTTCAGAGAACTGATTGTCGGCGCATGCCAAGCGGTGGCCCTTCTTAAAATTTGATTATATTTCTTAGAAATATACAGATAACGTATGAGGAGAAGAAACGCAACCCCCCCCTTCCCCTGATTGTCGGCAGCCCTTTGTAATAGATATTGATGGAATGTTTATCTTTTGTTTATAAACATAAACGTATGAGGAGAAGAAACGCAACCCCCCCCCCTGATTGTCGGCAGCCCTTTGTAATAGATATTGATGGAATGTTTATCTTTTGTTTATAAACATAAACGTATGAGGAGAAGAAACGCAACCCCCCCCCCCCCTGATTGTCGGCAACCCTTTGTAATAGATATTGTTTATCTTTTGTTTATAAACATAAACGTATGAGGAGAAGAAACGCAACCCCCCCCCCCCCCCGATTGTCGGCAACCCTTTGTAATAGATATTGTTTATCTTTTGTTTATAAACATAGATAAGCTTATCTGCTGATAAGACCCCCCGCCCGCGTGACGTCATACCCCCTCGCCCCCAAAAACCCCCCCGCCCCGCACCCCCCTCATTTCCCCTGAGTTAGAACCCCCCTAGTATAACTACTATATTCAATCTTTAAACTCTTATTTGTTATAAATTTAACATAAATATGTAGAAAGTATACAACTTTTATCTATATTTTGTCAGTTAATATTTATTATTGGCCACTGAAAATCGTTAGCTTATTATAATGCATTCTGATTCTTTTAGAATCATCTTTGGAGCGTTACTTTCGTGTGTCAAACGAATATCAATATATTTTTGTATAATAATAATAATCAATGGTGTCGATGATCATACAAAGGCTCTTGATCTAAAGTATGACTATTGTTATCTAAAATTGTATAGGAAGTAGTTGTAGTGTTTCTGTTATAAGCTTGTTATTTATATCTTTTAATAATAAATGAACATGTTGACGTATTATTTTCTCAGCACTCATACAATAAAAATGACATCTTTGGAGGGAAAATGCAAGCCACCACGATTTTTAAAATTGTTAATTTTGATTTATCACTGTCATCTTCTAACATGTCTCTACTTTCACAAATTATTTTTTTCTTTAGTGAATGTACTATTGAACCGAGCTATATGCTTCACGATTTCTTCAAGATAATCAGAAACATACCAGCCCGCATTTCCGCAATAATTGTGATCAAATAATATACTATGATTACTTTTCAAATAATTATAAACTGGAAAATTACTAATTTGTTTTTGTTGTGGGACTTTTTTCTTTCTTTCGTATTATGATTTCCGTATTAGTTTTTGAAATTGATGTATTTTATTATTCGCTATGTTTTGTTTCATTTCGGTAATGTTAGTTACGTCTGAAATTAATAATGTATGTCTTGCGGAATACAATTCGCTGAAGTAGACACTAAAACATTCATATTATTAACTAATAATTTTGGTGTAAGCAGATTGATATTGCACTGTTGTTGGATTTATTATTATAACCATTCATTCTTCTTATTAAAGCGAAAAACATTCAACATGATCCTGAGATAGTTTATAACTTAAAACAAATTGAACAGTATTTTTTGTATCAAATCTGTACAAAGACTAAATAAGGTTTTTAGACAAATAATAAAGCCAAGAAATCCCGTTTTAACAGATTCGCTTTCAAGAATTGATTTACGATTTTTTTTTTATACTTGGTTACTATTAATTATAGAATTTTCTTTTTCTGTTGTCTTTATGTTATTGTTTTTTCTCGCTACAGGCACATCAATTTCTAATTTTTCAATATAATCAATAAATCCATTAATTTTTATTTGAATTGAGATAAGAAATCTTTGGTAATCTTGTCGTCCTGGCGTCTTACAAAATTTGTTTTCACATTTAAAAGATCAAAAATTATAATTTTTTTGACAAAATTCGCTGTAGATGAAGCTTTTTCAAAATTTTATCTTTAAATTTCGAATTCAAGGAAATGTAATGCATTTGATACGCTTGAACTTAATACTTGCGCCACCAGTGAAACTTTCATTTTTTCGTTTTGAAATAAACATGTCTGTCTCGTATTTTGCATGCACTGTGCAAGCCCTCACTAATTTGCTTATTGTGTAATTTTTACATATATTCCCAACTAATACTTTCTTTTTTATCATATATTATAGGTCCTTTTAACGCAAAATAATTCTCACTAACTTGAGCGTATATTTAAATTTCTCTCACAATTATACATTTTATAATACAATTATAGTACAAAGTACATTTCACATAAAAATAATTAATCATTAAAATACATTGATTGAAATAGAAGTATGTACAATTTAAGTATTACAGTAAAAAGTTACATGAATTTTTCTATTACATAATAAGCGATTTTTGGCGATCATCTGGTATATGTACCAGGGTTATTATTGGTAAGGGTGAGCTTATTCTGGTACCTTGAGAATGTTCTGGTATACTTTGGTATACCTTGGTACATATACCAGACAATCACCAAAAATCGCCTAAATATGATTGAAATGTATTTTGAAACTGCACTGCAACGTATAATTACAAATTTACCTGTAAACATTCAGCAGCCTCAGAAAACTGTTTCTGTCTTCTTTTCTTCTTCATGTTTTGATTAGTTCTTTTATATTATTATTTATTTTTTCTTTCCTAAATAACTTCATATGGGAAGCAGATTTCTTCAATTTTTCAGAAGCCATAACTCTTACAAATCGCTCCAAGCTTCATCTGAAGCGAAGTGCTCTCTTGAAAAAACTCTGGCTGACTTCGACTATAAAACAAATTTTTTTGGGTGAATGTCGACAACAGATGATTTTCTAAACATCAATAATACAATTAATAATACAATTATTTTATAAAATATTAAGCTTAAAATATTTAGCAGTAAAAAATTTTACAAAAATTCTAATGTACCTTTTATTATTGTTTCTGGGACTTAAATTATCATGTGTTTCAAAGTTGTCTCCGTTATTAGTATCCGTACTTGTTGAAAATGTATTTTCGTCACTTATTGTCATATCTTGATGATTCGTTATGTTACCAAGTGCTTGAGTAGATACGTTGTTAATTGGTAAAGATAATTGATTAGTGTTTCGATTAAAAGGGACAGCAGTTGATATTAAACGTCTCAAAGTTGTATATCTATCAGTCTGATGAAATGATTCTTCATAGAAGTGGTCGCTACATATACTGGCTGACTTACAAACTGTTGTCACACCAATAGCTTCCATCCACTTCTTTTTTAATTCAACATTAACGGGAAAACTGTAATTCAAAATTAAATATAGTTAAAATCGGAGTGGAGCAGCTAATCTGAATAAATACCAAATATAGAATAATATTTGGCATTTTCATATGAATTTTAGGTAAGGTATTTTGATAATAATACACACTTCAAATAATAAATTTATCAATATTTAATAAACTTACTTGTGAAAACTTCGAGATATATTAAACGGAATAGGTTGCTTTTTACACACAATACACGTTCTTGTCATTTTTCTTTATGATTGTGTCACAGCGCGTCAATTTAATTTCTCCTCTTCTTTATTTATCTGACTGAATCCGAATAAATGCATAAAATTATATGCAAGATTAATAAATTCTTAGCTACAACACCATATTGTAGGTTAAAGAAAAAACCCCCTCAGTAGTCTCAACGATACCTCCCCACTCAACTCCATTCAGCTTGATGCGCGCGCAACGTTAGACAAGATAAAGATGGGCGTCTCATATTCTTTCTCTTTCTATTGCCTCACGTTTTCCACTTACAGGAGTCCCATGCCTATTACACACCTTGCATTAATCGAAACCCAAATTTTTTTGCGCTAACATCAATTCTTGCGAGAACCTATTTAATTAGCCATTTTGAGAATGATTTAACTTAGAATTAGACGTTTTTACCATTTATCGTTAGTAATACCGGCATAGGGAATCTTCTAGTTGTAACTAGTCTAGGGACTAGCAACGCGACCAATCCAACACAACAAGCGTATATCTATAAATTACTAGACATCGCCATCTCTAAAGCCTTGTCCACGATGCTAGAAATTGGTCCGAGTTCTCGATCCGAGAAAAGTTACTAAAACTCGAATCGTGTACACTACCAACTCGAATGAATATCTCGAATAGAAATGTCGAATAGAAAAATGTATCCTGTCCCATTTTTCCATACTAGTTACTAGATTTATTTCTTGTTGCCAACATTATTACTTTATAAATAGCTAGTCAATCGCGTTGGACATGAAAATATTCATAACCTACAAGACCTTTTAATAAAATAGCAAAGAAAATTATAGAAAAAGAATAAGATAACCTTTAATAATAAAGCAAAGAAGATTTGGTTCACATATAACCCAAAGGCAGAGTAAGCAAAAATTAATTAAACTGTAAAGAAAATTAGTAATTAGCAATTAATAATTTTTAATTATAATATTTACGTATATATTAATTACTTATTATGTAAATTATAATAATTAAAGTATATAAACTTAAGAAGGATATAGTGTATAGAGGTAAAATTTTATTTTAAATTTAATAATATTTACTTATAGTTCAGTTTATTTAAATCTGTATGAATTTTCAGGAAAGAGTATGGATAAAGACAATATTAGAACTTTATTATTGTTGTATCAACAACATCCATGTTTATATGTCGTAAAATCTATTGATTATCATAATCGTATAAAACGAGAAAAAGCATTACAAACAATATGTGATCAATATACAGAGATAACAGAACAGCCATTGACGATAGAAATTGCAAAAAAGAAAATCAATAACTTAACGTAATTAACTCCGCTGTCTTTTTTCTTGTATTTCTGGCCGTTTTTCTTGCTGTTCTATAACCGCAGCAAAGGCAGTAAAAATCAGCATTTTTGAGTTGTTTCTTTTTTGCTGAATTATTCATTTTATATTAGATGTGTTCTCTTTCAGCTTCTTAATAACTGCTTTATTAAATGAATCAAAACTTTGTAGTATCAAATTATGTATGTAGGAACAAATCTATTATATTACAAAATATTGTTTTTATTATAATTTATAATAATTAGAAATTCACAATATTTTATTGTTTTCTTTCCAATATTTTAATGTTGGTATAAATTATAGTAACTAATCTCACATACTCGACTATAATGCTATCTGGAGTCATCAAAGTAGAACTAATTCTATTCGAGAGTTTAAATCGAGAACTCGGACCGATTTCTAGCATCGTGGACACAAAGCTTTACAACCCTAACGGTATGAACGATAAATGCGAAATATAATTAATGTGTGCAAATCTATTAATCAATGTGTGAATCCTATAATCAACATGTTTGAAATTATATAATCTTATTTATGGAATAGTTAAAATAATGAATCGTTTGAATAAATATCTTAATCACACAATGGTGAATGAATTATAAAAATTGATAAATTCTAATGACCGACTATTTGTCATAAAATATTCCATAAAATCTTTTCTTTAAATTATAAGATAACGTAAACGATGCGCCTCAATTGTAATTATATTTATGGAACCTTACTATCTTTATCACTATTATCAATGATTGAAACTACTCAGATTCTTGCAATTTAGTGTCAGAGATGTTATTCTCCTTTTTCAATATATTTACATAAATAAGGATTCCATGAATATAACAACATTTCACCGTAACTTTATAAGAATATACCACGTTTTGAAATCATAACTATATAATTTAGCAATCATAACTTCATTTCATCATATTAAAATTGCAATAACTAGATTATAGCAGAAAATTATATAGAGAACGATTTCAGAAACGTATAGAAGCTAGCAAGCGAACAATAGAACTCTAACGTGCGGTTACCGCTTGAACTTTCTTTGTCGCCCGGACCACCCCCGATCTTGATACAATAAGCAACCTTGCGCCTTTCGGGATGCTAACACCTGCATGTCATGAACCTCGAGAATCAACAAATCATAGACTTTTACGACTTATTCTCTCTTAGATTTTCTCGTCGCCTATCACCTTATATGGTCAAAATAGATTTTCTTGACCATATTTGGTCAAAAGAAGAGCTCACTCGTTGCCTTCTCAGGACCCCCAAACCACCCCCTTCTTTTATAAGAGAATTTATTATGATATCTTCCTGGAAAAGCGTTTTCGTGGGAATCCTCCCACCTAAAATTTTGCACGCGACACCAAGATTTTTCGTTTTCGAAGGGTATATAAACCCTAGAAAATCTGGCCACACGACGGCATTTTATCATAGAAAGTTACAGTGTACATTTAAATTGTCGCTAGCCAAGAAGTGCAGCAACAATTTCGTACCATCCTAAAATCATCATAACGATTTATAACGCGAATCTCATAATATATAACTTTGTCAACGATACTTAACTGCTGTAACCCAGCGTAAATTTGTAACTTGGTATATTGTTCAAGTCACGGGTTAGCCGTCGAACTCGCTGACTTCTTAATTCTTAATCGCGCACAATTTGTAACCGGGTTAAAGACGAATAAAGAACTTCAGAGCATCGTAACATATGTTGTGTGCCTCGGGAGAGACACTTAAGGGTCGCGCCAAATTGGGATGGGAATCCGGGGCGTCAGGACTTGTCGGGTGTTTGTAGAGAAATGCACTACACTTTTTGTATTAAAATTCTTTATTCAACTTCAACCACTTGGTCTTTATTTTATTTCACTATCAATACACTGAAGCTTTACGAGTGTGCGGCACTGACTTTATATTACTCCGCGTATCGCGCACAACTGCGAGTCGATGCTAAGTGCGCGCGCGGTTAGCGAGATCGTGGTTAGAGCGATTATTTGTGTCTGCGACTGAGCGAGTTGTCGCGTCTCTACTCTCTTTTTATATCGTTGTTTTTGGAGTTTTCCCGATCGGAAGGGGTGCCTGGCAACAGGTTTCCCCGGTCGAGAATCTAGGTGCAAGCGAAGCAGATTCAAAGTCCTTCTGCTTTGCTTGCACGTTGACCAATTTCTGTTCCGCGTATATCTCGCATTGTATGCGTTTTTAACGCGGTCATTATCTGTCGTAATTCTGATTTCGCGTATACCTCGCATCGTATGCGTTTTTTAACGCGGTCATTAGCTGTCGTAATTCCGATTCCGCGTATACCTCGCATCGTATGCGTTTTTTAACGCGGTCAGTGTCTGTCGTAATTGCAGATGCAATACGAGTACCCATTTCTTAATATTAGTTACTCTTTAACAGTTATATCTATTGTATATCTTTGGGGGATATAACATCCCTCCCCCGTTAAAGAAGAAAAACGAAGGCATGAAGTTTTTCGCTTACAACTAAAGCTTACAAATGTTTATCCCGTTCACAATATAATTATAATCGTTTCCTATTTCCTAAAAACGCGTACTATTACTCCTTTTTAATATAGATCTAGGTACATCCCAGTCATCGTCGAGTATCGTCACTCTTGGTCTTCTTTTAATGTCTTTTCTATTTTTTACTTTCCAAATTATAATGACAATGATAAATATTATAATTATGATTATTACTAACCCGCTCGAGGTCATGGGATAAATAAATTGTTTTCTTGTATAAAACTTTTGTTCATTATCCTGTAAATCATTGTCTATATTGTTTATTTTCGTTCGTAATTCTATTAGTTCTGCGTTGTTTTGTGTTAGATTATTTAATGTGTCGAGTATTCTCATGTCCTCGTCTTGTGACGGTGCAATATTAAAATTCGGTAAATATGTATCTATGTTCGTTACGTAAGTCGTCTCTTTTGTCTCCAATGTCATATCCTCCGTTTTAATTTGACAGTTTCCTCGTGAGGTTAGTCGGCCGGTATTTTTTATTACTAAATTTTTTTCTGTGTATCCGTCACATTTTATATTTATTTTTTCTTCCTTAGCTGTTGAGTACAACCATGTGTGTGTTTGATGTAACGGGATCCATACTGTCGTTTTCGTTACCCGATAGCGTACCTTACATTCATGCTTATCTTGCATTCGTTGCGTATACATTTGTAATTCGCACGGTATATTCGTGTTTACGCGATAAGTCGGCATGCTATGTTCGCATATATAATTAAAGTTTATTTTACTACATTTTTGTAAATCCTCATTTGTTATAATTAAATATGTTAATCTAAGGTTATCTATGGCAAACATATTGTTTTCTACTTGTATACCTTTAAATGTTTTATTGTATGCTGCCACGGGGAATTCAATTGCCTTTATTATGTTATATTTAGGCTGTGATATTATCGGGAACCGCAGTATTGTATATAAATTATATTCTTTGCTTACGTATGCACTTACGCTTGCATGTTTCTTTATTTCATGCCAGTTTACTGCGTGTGTTCTAAACGGAAAATAATATCCCTGTTCTAACTGTGTTGCGGCTTCCTTTAAGTGTGCGACAATGTTATCAAATGGTACTAATTTCGGATGTATATTTCCTTCCTCGATTTGCGCTAAGTATTCTATAATATTTTCCGCGTCCCTAATGGCGTCTGTTAATGCTGCCATAATTATTTCATATTGTCCCTGTATCTTTTCTAACGTAATATATTGCGCTACATTTTCCTGTAAGAGTTTTTCACTCTGTTTTATTGTATTCTCTAACTTACTTATATGTGTTACCGTATCGTTGATTATTGTTAGTTGATGCCTAACTGTGT